TTGGAGTGCAGGCCCCGCGCAGGGTCGGTGCTCCGAGGAGGTCCCCCTTGGAGAGGCAGCGATCCGAGGAGGTCCCCCTTGGAGAGCTGGCTCTCCAAGGAGGTCCTCCTTGGAGCGCAGGCCCCTTCCCGCGTAGGGTAATGACGGGGGAATGCGCCACAATACATATTTGGTGATCAGACTTACGGTAAATGCAAAATGATTCCCGGCGTGCAATTGCAATTCCTCAAGAAACCGAAATTCAAAAGATCTCGGTTCTTTCCACTTTCTGTCGGGGTTCTGTCGGGGTTCTGTGTGGTGTCATGTGGAAACACGGGAAAATAATACATATTAGGTCGGGATTTCGTTTGGATTCTGTTTGGATTGGGCCCCATGTGATAATGTCCTATGACTACCCACTGTGTAAAAATATGGTTGCGGTCATAAAATCTTGTCTAAAATGAGTTGCAGGTATTAATTGGTAACCAGTAACAAATAGCTTTCTTGAGAATTACTGGGACATATATATACATTGAATGAAATATTAGTATGTGAATGGGAAATGAGAGAGACAAATTGATTCCTAAGGGAGTTCTGAAAAGTAACTAAGGTTATCCAGTTACAATGAGCCCTTGATATTTGCTTCAGTTTGGTTCCAGGACTTCCTGTGGATACCAAAATTTGTGGATGATCAAACTGCATTATATACAATGCCATAGTAAAATATTATTCCTAATATAGAATGGCAAAAATCAAGGTCAGAATTTAAATAAGATGGCACTCTGCCAGTATAAAGAGTAACCTTTCACATCAGATTCCACTAATTAACCAGGAACAGAAAAGACAGGCTTCAATAACTCTTCAAGTCATGTGTCATAAATACATATGACTCTGAACTCAGGGCCAAGTGATGTGTTCTGAACTAAAAAAAAAACAAAAACAAAAAACCATTGACTTGACATTTAACCTGAATTAAAATAGATTTTTAGTTGACACAAAATTTGTGCTCTGCATACAAGACATGTCATTGTCTAGACTACTTTTATGTTATCTGAGAGCATTTTCCTCATCACATAAGCAACAAAGATGCTAGATAAAGATTCGAGCACTCTCAGATGAGGTTTTTAATGTGCAGTCTCTATGTCACCTTGATATAATTTCATGGGGTGAAGGCAGTCCAGATATCATAAGACAACTATAATCATTCCATGTATTCCCATTGCTGCTTCTACTCTTCCCTACTGCTCTTTCCATCCTGAAAGAGCAGAGTCACAGAACAATCTATTTTTGGTATGAATAGGAAAATGCATTCCTGAGATTCAGGCAGTATCTAGAAAGAAAAAAACATCTCTGGAAACATCTCTGAGACTTTCCAATTCTTTTTTTGTTTTGATTTTACCTACACATTCCCCATTTCGCATCCAAACTCTTTCTTGAAATATCTTGGCCCCACATTGTGTTATTCCCCCCCCCCCCATGCACTGATCACGTGTCACATGTAGATGCAGGGAATGTTTCAGAGATTGATTTTCAGCAAAGTGATGAAATACTTTAGCAATAGTGTTAAGCATTAGAAACTTTTTGTTTTGGTGCAAACATTTCTCTTTCCCTTGCTTGATTTCGGTTGAATCTTTATCCTGTAACCATAGCTATATTTTGTTGGTAGGCTGTTATGAAATAATACAAACAGTCCACAAAGGGCAAGATACATTTCATTTTGGAAAATACTGGATTAACTTAAACTGACCTGGGAAGGAGGAATGAAAAGTCCTTGATAATTCCAGGAGTTCCCAGGAAATATTTTGGGATGAAGAAAATACAATGTGGAAATCATCATCATCATCATCATCATCATCATCAATTTGTTTATACAGGAACAAAACCTGGGATTTTCATAGAATTTTCCCCTTATCTAGAGGGGTGGTGAAGGTAGATGGCATGTTGGATATGCCCCTCTTTTCTCTGTTGCTTCATGTGAATTTCCACTTTCAGAGACCTATAATATCTTGCATTGCAAGTTCAACCCATAATCATGTTTACTGCAACTGACAAGCAGAAAAAATCAAGATGCAGGTTTTCTACCTGGGATGTGAAATTGACTTGTATAGAGATGAGGAATTCTCAGGTGAAATCAATAGGACAATATTTTACCGAGAAGTATGCTTTGCAGTGCTTTTGAATTGTTCTGTGGGCATGTTACAAATTCTTTTAATTGTTGCAAATGCACTGCTTCAAAAACTGTAAAAATAATGCATGTGCATACTCAACATACTAAAACGGTTCTGAGAAGTACCCAATAACTTTTCATGGAGTGGGATGTGTGGGATGTGAGGGCCTTGAGGGGTTAGGGAAGGATGGAGGAAAATAGTAGCAACTTGCACTTGCCATGGTCACTGCACAGATTAAATATAGCCAGACGCAAGCCAGTAAACCACTTACTATGGAAGATCAATTGCAATTCCACTTGGACTTACAGTAGAAAAGCAACAATTTGTAACACTAGGAATCTTCTATCTTGAAGCACTCTTGAATAGGTGTGCCTGGAAAATGTGAAAAACTTTCTAATTGTAGCAGAAGTACCCAAACAGAAGTACTGTCAGAGGGCAAATACTCATTGCTGAATCACTCTGGGTTTGATAGGGAGCAGTAAAGGAGTGACCAACTTCAGAGGGTCAGATGGGGCAATTTTCTGCATGTGGAACATTTTGGAGAACAGAGAGACTTCCAAAAATGGCCCCCTCCTCCAAAAAGTACACAAACTTCCATTTTTAATTTTGAAGATTTTTTGGGGTGTGTGTTTTAAACTGTGTAGTGGGGCTCTGCAACCTATTGAAAATAGTGACTTGCAACTGAACAGTTCCAGGAGAGTCAATTCATTTTTGGTGTGTGTGTGTGTGTGTGTGTGTTGTGTAAAAATAATTAAATTAGCTTTGTTTTGGGTAATGAATTTTATACCTTTCCATTCATACTGAATGCAGGCACTTTGCCAGGGTCAAACCACCATCCTTTTAAAATGACCAAACTGATGCATATTTAAAACTGCAGTCACAAATGAGGGCTTTCATGACAATGTACATGTCATATAAATGTTTAAATTTAAGGTTATTTCAAAAATGGTGTCATTGATTGTACCATGCTCTGAGATCTGCTAATATACAGCAGATCAGTAATATTTCAATCTATAAAAAAAAAAAGTGGGGAAAAATTAAGAAGAACCCTAACCAATCAGATTGGTTTCTATCCATAGCCTAAAGATGACCACAAGAAGCAAAGAAGAACATGAAAATACTCCCACCACCACCAAGCTTTGTCCATTGTCTATAAGCAATTAGTATGGTTAGTGTGAAGATGGAGACTACGCATAGCCATTGTGGTGAGTACCAATATTTAGGTATATCTGCACTTACTACTATATTAAATGTTTAGTATGCACAGGGATCTTGTAGCACCTTTCAGACTAATTGAAAGAAAGAGGTTGGTAGAATGAGCTTTCATAGTCTTGAACCTGCTTCCTCAGATGCAAGTTTGGAGTGGAGAATCCAGAGAAATCAGTAAATGATGTTCATCACAAGAAGCAGCATTAGATTGCAGAAATTTGTGCCTAACCTTTTGTGATACTAGAACCAGTTTCTGTGTCTGTGCAAAATGTTTAGATGTCTTCTTTTCAATAAATCCCTTTTCTTTTGTCTATTTGAGGATATTTAGAAGGCATTAATTTTAATATACCAGATAATTATTTTTAATATATCCAACACATAAACAAACATACATATGATTCTGATAGAAATTGTTGTTGTGCACCTTCAAGTCATTTCTGACTTAAGGCAACTCTAGGCAACCCTATCATGGGGGTTTCTTGGCAAGATCTCTTCAGAGGGGATGTGTCATTGTCTTCCTCTTATAATGAGAAAGCATGACTTACCCAGGGTCACCTGGTGGTTTTCCATGGCCAAGCAGAGATTTGAACCTTGGTATCTCAAGTCCTAGTCCAACATTCAAACCAATATACCGTGATGCCTCTTATTGATAAAAAGGGGAAAGAAAAATCTATTTTTTAAAAAAATGAAAGACTAAAGAGGAAGGCATACTCAGACTGGAAATCTGTTGTTGCACTCACAAGGCATTAGTAAAGAAGGTGGACAAAATCTGCCAGCTCTGATTAACCTAGTTCTCTAATGATTTACTTCATTCCTGGATGATGTACCCATGAGTACAGGGATGCAGTAGTTGCTAACTCTAACAATTTCTTGTGGCAGTTGAGTTATTTACTCAGAACCCTCCTCAATCTTAATCTATCCATTCATTTTAATTTTTTTCCAGAAATTACTCTTTCTTTCCTATAACTGTTCTTCCTCATCTTGGAAACATTATCTGTATGAAATTTGGTTCCTTTCTTTTCTTACTGCTACCAGCTTCTTGTGGACCTCTTCCACTACATCAGAAAGCTATGTATTCCTCCTTGCATGCCAACTGCCTCTTCCATTCTCCTGTTGCTATTTTTTTTTACCTTGACCCTTCTAACCTGAACTGTTTCACCTGGTGGAAAGCAAATGACACATATGGTGGTTTAAAACAGAGTTTAGAGATAATTACTTTTTGAAATGACTGTAATTCTGGTTTGAGGCCACTTGTATCCATTGACGTTACTTATTCTAAGCCAGCTTCCAGGCAGGGGGCAGGCTGTTACACATAGGCTAGACTAATCACTTCACATGGACAAAGGTGAGTCTCATGCATAGTAATTATTAATTGGAAGCTGAATATAATGAAATGTATTCAAAAGATGGCATGGTCTGCAGCCTCCGGCAAGGGTGGAATGCTTTACTGATGAATTTAAGCAGGAGCTGTTTTATCTGCTTGTATGTGCCGTAT